TTTTTGTAGGCATTAAACTGCCAGAATTTTAAAAGACGATATCTCCGTTTGCATTGAACTTTCAGCTTCGTAACTTTGCAGATATTGTTTATGATCAAACAGCAACATTACACACTAACTAACGTCAAAAAAGTGAAATTGCAATGAACCACCCCTTTAAATTACAGACACTAAATTGGAACTGAAGTATCTTATTTTCTTCAATTACACACACAGGAGATCTGTTACTGAACTTGGGTCAATATAAAAACTTTAAATAACCAAACACTCACTATAGTATAATGTCTCCAGTTTATAATGTGGATCGTCCTTCAGATCAGAGAGTAACTTCACTCCAGAAACTCCTAGTTCATTCAGTGACAGATCCAGGTGTCTCAGGTGTTCAGGGTTTGATCTCAGAGCTGAAGCCAGAGCAGCACAACCTTCATCTGTGACTCCACAATCTCTCAACCTGTAGAGAACAATGACACAGTTTGAATTGTAGTTCAAATGTCTTCAGTTTGTTATTGACTCTGCAAAGTCTCAGAGCAGGAGAGGAGATATAATGACAAGCATTGCCACAAACGGCTGCTGATAGAATGAGATATATGCATGTTGATGCTCAGTGGTGATGTTTGAAACGGTCATGTGCTTCAGGACTGAACAGACACACAAATCTGAATGTGAGATATTGTAGTGATAATAAGGGCAGAGCTGTCTGTACTTGCACCTCTAATAAACACCTACAGGAGGACATTTGCTTCACAGGAGCCACGTTCCCCATTACATCTCTCTTGTGATCAAACACAGAATTGTGTCATGTTTGGTCTCATCTGGCAGCTTAAAACAGTATAGAAATGTATTGGACTCAATAGAGATACTCAAGTTCTTAATGTACAAGGAAAGAACTACTGCCTACACATGCACCGAAATCATGTTAATGAGCTTTTCTTCTGGCACATGAACTTTCTTTTCTTAAAGGAGACATATTATGCCCCCTTTTTACAATATGTAATATAATGTCTCGTAATATAGTGGTACGGTACAGTACAGTTCGGTACAGTACGATTTGGTACGGGCAACCCTGATCCAGCTTGCGTTTCCACTGCCAATAGTACCCTTCTTGATAGGCGCGGGGTATGCCGGAAAGTAGCGATCGACGATAAAGCGCGACAATAAGCACAAATCTACCTCTTTTTGTTAAATGTCAGTTTTAATAAACAATAATAGCCATTATAAAAGTATAAGTACAAAGCATAAGAGGCTTATATAAGAGGAAATAAAGACAAAAGCAAACAATTCAGTCAAACGTATGCTACAAAGTCAGAGCTGTACTACGGTAAAGTTCAAAATAAATATAAAGTTAAACATAACTTTGTGCTCAGCCAAAACGGTATGACCAGGAATAAATAATAAGATTCATGAGACCACGAATGCCTGTTAAATATAGCCAACCCAAAACAAATTGTATCTCGTGTTTAATCACTACAGAGACATCAGAGCCAGGGGCAAATGTCAGAAGGACTAGCCGAGCTAATGCTGCTCTATGCGGATACATGAGCACTGAGCGCCCGGTGATCACCTGGAGCTTCGAAATTGGCATAGCAAATTTTAAAATAGGTGCTATCTTTATAAATAAACCACAGATTTGAGTTTTAAACAATTGCATTCTCGCCTGAAAAACTCTTAAAACTACATTTTAGACACAATAACAGATTTAGAAAATTACACGGTTATTTGGGCAATGACATTTCACAAGTCCACAAGAACAGACAAGAACGCATATTGAGAAACGGCTATTTCAAATGTTTGATTAAGTTGTATTCTTTACGGATTAAAGGAAGGTGTAACTGGAAATCTTAAGAAGCATCAAGTATCTTGTGATTTATATATATGTTTGGTTTATAAAAAGTTTTTTAAAAATGTGCGGAAAAAAACAAACTCAATGAGGGTGCTCAACTATTGTAAACAATAAGAAAAAATAAAAGTTGGTGCCAACTTTTCTCTTATGTTTGGTTTATAACCAGTGTTTGTTTAAAATATTGAACAAGCTATATAATTTAGTTATGAGCCGTAACAGTGATGAACAAGTCAGGTCAAAACTGATATAGAATAGTCAGATTATGCTACCTAATATGTATAATTCAATAGATTATGTTGCTAACTACAATTTTCATAATGTAATTTGTAATCAGTAATGGAATAATAATAATTTGTGAGTTATCAGTAAGTGATCATTTGTAAAGAGCAGCTCATGTGTTACAGCTCAGTCAGTTGAACTCAGCAGCAGCAGAAAGAGGCTGAACACCCTTAAAATATACTTTATAACGTGCTTCATGTGAGAGAGTCATATATGATCTTACCACAGTTTCTCCAGTTTACACTAGTCAGATTATGCTACCTAATATGTATAATTCAATAGATTATGTTGCTAACTACAATTTTCATAATGTAATTTGTAATCAGTAATGGAATAATAATAATTTGTGAGTTATCAGTAAGTGATCATTTGTAAAGAGCAGCTCATGTGTTACAGCTCAGTCAGTTGAACTCAGCAGCAGCAGAAAGAGGCTGAACACCCTTAAAATATACTTTATAACGTGCTTCATGCGAGAGAGTCATATATGATCTTACCACAGTTTCTCCAGTTTACAGTGAGGATTCTGTAGTGCATCAGAAAGCAGCTTCACTGAATCTCCTAGTTCATTCCACGTCAGACTCAGTTCTCTCAGGTGTGAGGGGTTTGATCTCAGAGCTGAAGCCAGAGCAGCACAACCTTCATCTGTGATTCCACACTTACTCAACCTGTAGAGAACAATGACACACTCTTCATTCTATCAGATCAGATCAGTTTAGCTGTGAATCCATTATTAAAGAAAAGGTACAAACTTAAAGCACAAATCAATATGTTTGATAGATCATTGGACGGTTTAAAATGTCACAGAACACAAATCATGATCATAAAACATCCAGAGCCTCAATCAAGCAAGATAAATTATATTTCTTATATGCACTATATCTGTATTTTCCCTAGCAAGGATCACGCCGCACTGCAAATGTTGGGAAGTAATCTTTATTGTATAAATGTAGGGATGAAAGGGGAAGGGTAGGAGGGATAAGGGGAAGGGGTGATAGGTTGATCTGGGTGTCCGTTGGTGGCCCGGGAAGACTCAGGATGGGGGTATTGTCTCTGTAATGTGTGGCCGAGTGATTAGGACCCCCTAAGATTGGAGAGAGCTGAGGTTAGCTTGGGCTTGGCGGATGTTGTTTAGATCAGGGTCATCCTCAGCTGACGCGGGGCCCGGAGTAAGGTAGGGAGCGGGGCCCCCTCGGTCCGTTCCCGATCACTCACGCCGGACTGCAAATGTTGGGAAGTAATCTTTATTGTATAAATGTAGGGATGAAAGGGGAAGGGTAGGAGGGATAAGGGGAAGGGATGATAGGTTGATCTGGGTGTCCGTTGGTGGCCCGGGGAGAATCAGGAGAGAGCTGAGGTTAGCTTGGGCTTGGTGGATGTTGTTTAGATCAGGGTCATCCTCAGCTGACGCGGGGCCCGGAGCAAGGTAGGGAGCGGGGCCCCCTCGGTCCGTTCCCGATCACGTTCCTGGGGGGGGGTCCCCTACGGTCCGTTCGCCGCAGGGCCCCCTCAAGCGCACCCCCCTAAGGACGACACTGGTTGAGATTGTTGCAAATGTAAGATTGGGGGGCAGGGCCCCCTCAAGCGCAGGGCCCGGTGCAACCGCACCAGTTGCACCCCCCTAAGGACGACACTGGTTGAGATTGTTGCAAATGTAAGATCGGTATGCTTGTGATGACCAGTGTCCAAGAAAGAATGTATCGAATAGTGTTCTGGAGATATACCGGAGGTGCTGAGAATTTGGTTGAAATGTTTGCTGAACCAGAACCTAGTGGCTACTTTCCCAGTTTCCATGATGAAGAGCGGATCTCGGGGAGATGATTGGGCAGTGATTCTGGAGCGAACATACTCGGAAATGGGTTCGAACGGCCTGAGAAAGGAATTGAGACGGAAGATGTAGATTTGGAACGATGCTCCTAATTGGTCCGTTTTACTTCTCTAAAGCAATCCTCAGCTGACGCGGGGCCCGGAGCAAGGTAGGGAGCGGGGCCCCCTCGGTCCGTTCCCGATCACGTTCCTGGGGGGGGGTCCCCTACGGTCCGTTCGCCGCAGGGCCCCCTCAAGCGCACCCCCCTAAGGACGACACTGGTTGAGATTGTTGCAAATGTAAGATCGGTATGCTTGTGATGACCAGTGTCCAAGAAAGAATGTATCGAATAGTGTTCTGGAGATATACCGGAGGTGCTGAGAATTTGGTTGAAATGTTTGCTGAACCAGAACCTAGTGGCTACTTTCCCAGTTTCCATGATGAAGAGCGGATCTCGGGGAGATGATTGGGCAGTGATTCTGGAGCGAACATACTCGGAAATGGGTTCGAACGGCCTGAGAAAGGAATTGAGACGGAAGATGTAGATTGGGAACGATGCTCCTAATTGGTCCATTTTACTTCTCTAAAGCGTATATATGAGGGCATCCGGTGAGTGTATGGTGATGTCAGGTATGCAGGGATGGATGGATGGATTGAAGGTGGATGAAGTTGGAGCAAATTCAGAGCATCTTAGAAAGCCGAAGAATGCGAGCAGGAAAATGGACTCTAAGGTTCGGTCGATGATGGGATTTAGATAGCCTGAGCGTAGTGATAAGATGTAGATGCTAAGTAGGTCGGTAGTAAGCGCAAGCTGTTTGTTGATAGGAGAAGGTTTTTGTTTTCACAGACCTTTGATGAGCATGAAGAGAAGGTGCCTGACTATGAGCTGAGAGAAGCAAACTCTGTAGGCCATTTGGAGGCGAACCAGCTCCCTCCGCAGTAGCCGCCAAAGCCTATGGAGGGTGCGGCGTCGGTATACAGTTGAATATCGTCGGGGTTGGTGAGATATTCATTGTAGAAAAAGGAGAAGCCGTTCCAGGATGAGAGAAATTGTTGCCAGAGGCGCATTTCATTTTACATGCGTCGTCTAACATGGCTCTGCCGTGGAGAGACGGGATGGAGGCCGCTTTTGACAGGAGATTTGACAAGAACGATTTTCCTTTATCCGGATGGCGTAATTGAGGTGGCCTAGAAGGGCTAGTAGCTATCGCTTTGTGCAACTGTCTGCCAGTAAAAACTTGGAGAGAAGCAGTGTGATGCGATGGATTTTTGTGAGAGGCAGAGATGCTTGAAAGGAAACCGAATCGAGAGTGATGCCTAAAAACTCGATGGAGGTGCTAGGCCCAGAGGTTTTCTCTTCTGATAGGGGGACGTCTTCGGTGAAGACTTTAATAAGGGTGGAGAGCCCTGATCGTGGTGGTGCTGATGGAGGTGTAACTACTGGAAATTCATCGAGAAGGTGGATGATGTAAGGGGGTCTGTAATTATTAAGTAGAATCTAGCATAGTGCATCTGAAAGAGAGTCGAATATCTTGAGGTTACTTTTACAGCCGAAAGTGAGGTGTACTACAAAGTAGTAGGATCCTTTCCAGGAAACTCTGAAAAGGTGCCAGAAATATGGATGGATGGGTAAGACCTTGAAGGCACTGGTGATGTCTGCTTTGGCTAGCCAAGCACCGTGGCCTGCAAGGCGGATGAGTTTGATAGCATGGTCAGTTTTAGCATATTGCATGGAAAAATCTGGAGCCGGAATAATGCTGTTAATACTTGGAGTGTGAATGCCATGAGGAGAAGATAAGTCAATTATTACTTGCTTTTTCCCAGAGTATTTGCGGGTGGCGATTCCTATGGGGCTGATGCGTGTGATGGTGAATGGTGGTTTATTAAAGGGGCCTATCATGAATCCTTTTTTAACTTCTTCTGCTAATAGCGTATCGACTATTTTGGGTTCTGACATGGCGGACTGGAGATTGTGCGATGTATGGGAGGTGTCGGGAATTATGTCTATGCCTGGGTGGAAACCATTTGTGAAGCCATTGAATAAGAAGTGTACGAATTCTCTATCAGGATTATTTTTTAGCGCAGCGGCTAGGGCCTTTACCTTGATAGGGGTGCTGAGGTGCTTTGTTAGTCATTCTGCTGGTGTTGTAGGATTGTGGGGGCAGGAGTTTCTTACATGGGCTCCGCCACAGAAGGAGCAGGAATGTAGAAGATTGCAGTTGGAAAGGCTGCAGCCTAAATGGTTGAAATTATTGCACACAATCCTTCCTCCCTGGTACAATATTTGACGGCCTCTTTTATCGACGCCTTTGGAGGTTAGAATATTTCCTGATGGGCCTGCTGGCTTTGGGATAATGGGAGGAGGGGGTGCTGCTGCAGATAACCGGCTGAATACCGATGACTTGCGAGAGGAAGTTGGTTTGGAGGGGGGTGATAATAGAGCAAGCTGATGCTGGATGAGAGGGGGCTCCGCAAAGTTCGCACGAAATTGATGACTGAGCTCAAATTGATGACTGAGTTTGCACGAAATTGAAGACTGCTGCTTGGGTAGCAAACAGAACATGATAATTGTAAAAGCTAGTCCCGCCAAAGCAGACTGCCATGTCGCAGATGATGGAGAGGTAGTCGTCAAGTTTGGCTCTACAATCTGGATATACAGAACATATGATATCGGAGAAAGTAGAGAAAGCGAAAGTGAATTCAGTAGGAGTGAGATTTTTTGAACGTGAGGAAACAGGATGGCTGAGCTGCATGGGACCTAGGCTGGTAAGCACTTCTCTAGGCTGACTAGTAGGAATGAGGGATGGTTGAAGAAGCTGAGCTATATCAATGTAATTACCAGCAAAGATTTGCGCACACAGGGTTGCGGAGACGGGAGAAGGACGATGAGCCACTGAAGCTGGCTGAATAGGTGTCAAGGCTGTGGCTAAAGAAAAAGGGGTATTGCTAAATGACATGATGTGAGGATGTTGGGGAAGGGAGGGGTTGGCATGGGGCAAAGGATATACCAGTTGGAAGAAGAGTTGGAGGATAAGGAAATCCAGATTGGCCAGCGCGGAGTAGAGCCTCTTGGGGCGCTGGCTGGGGTATCTGGACTGGGACTGGAGGGATAGTGGCAGGAGTATAGGAAAAAACAGGAGCTGTATTACTGTGTATGGCTGAAGGAAGGGTAGAGGAATGGATGATTGGTTAAAAGGATGAATGTGGATGGGGATTTTGATTAATTTGTGAACACAGAGATGAGAAGAAAGATGACATGATTTGAGTGAAATCGGGTGAAGCAGCTGTAGGTGTAGTTACGACTTGTCCTCCGCTAGGGGGAGCTGATGCTGCTGTCTGAAGCTGTGGTGGAGAGATGTGACGTCATGGGTGATGGAAGGTGGCCGGCTTGTAGATGCCGGAAGTGTTGACGGATGAGCTTGAGTTGATGTAGAAGTTTTGGTGGATTCTAAGTATAAGTGGTATAGTCTTGCTTTATTATCTAAGCGACTGAAGTGGATGCCTTTACTTTTAAGTATGCGTTGAAGGCGAGCCACGGTCCAATTCGAAATGTCGTCATTGGATCTGGGGGACGCACGGCGAGATTGCTATCGGGGGAAGAGGCTGCTGACGAAGAGAGTGAGAAGGCTGGTTTCCGCGTCTGCGATGGGTATGGCTGTCTCTGTTAGAGGATCTTGATGCTGGAGATGAGGGAGCCTGTGATCGCACTGGAGTTGAAGAGTTTCCTTGAGGGATATTAGAGCGAGAATGCTCGCGAGGTCGAGGAATGTGTACGGCTGATCGCAAGCGCTGCGAAGTGCAGCTCGGGTTGGATTGCTGCGAGCTAATCCACAGGTGAGAGAAGTTGGACTCGAACAGATCGTCATCTGCATCAGGTGAGTAAATCTGTATCTCTGGATCCATAGTTGTTCGAGAGAACGAGATGAACAGTGCTAAAGGGTCGGCCTGACATAAGTAAGTTTTGGGAATTGAGGTGATTGGATGAGGTGGCTGAGTGAGGCGTGGCCCTGCTCCTGAACCTCAGTTAACTAGTTAACTCCCTTTATACAAAATGTCTGTCTTAATTGATGACACTATTCATTACATAGCATGTGAGAGAGTCATATATGATCTTACCTCAATTTCTTCAGTTTACAGTGAGGACTCTGTAGTACATCAGAAAGCAGCTTCACTGAATCTCCTAGTTTATTCCACGACAGACTCAGTTCTCTCAGGTGTGAGGGGTTTGATCTCAGAGCTGAAGCCAGAGCAGCACAACCTTCATCTGTGACACCGCAATAAATCAACCTGTAAAGAACAATGACACACTCTTCACTCTCTCAGATCAGATCAGTTTACCTGTGAATCCATTTTTAAAGATAAAATACAAATTTAAAATACAAATCAATATGTTTGATGGATCATTGGACTGAGGTCTAAAATGTCACAGAACACAAACATGATCATAAAACATCCAAAGTCTCATTCAAGCAGGATAAATTATATTTCTTATATGCACTATATCTGTATTTGATGCAAAATATTTATCTTATTCAAAATCTGTCTTAATTGATGACATAATTCACAACATAGCATGTGAGAGTCATATATGATCTTACCCCAGTTTCTCCAGTTTACAGTGAGGATTCCGTAGTACATCAGAAAGCAGCTTCACTGAATCTCCTAGTTTATTCTCAGACAGATTCAGTTCTCTCAGGTGTGAGGGGTTTGATCTCAGAGCTGAAGCCAGATCAGCACAACCTTCATCTGTGACACCACAATAAATCAACCTGTAGAGACATGAAAATCATACATGTTAAACACTATCAAACAGCTATCGAAAAAGCAATCAAACAACCTCCTGCAATGAATAAAAACGTGCAATTCCAATATAATTAAATTAATTCATACCACACGAAAAAAAACTGCACATGTCTTTCTTTAAAGGGCACCTATTATGCCCCTTTTTCATCTTGGTACTTTTGTGGACCTTGAACGTGGTAGTTACCTTGCTGTCTATGGGAGGGTCAGAGAGTCCTCAGATTTCATCAAAAATATCTTAAATTGTGTCCCGAAGATGAACAAAGGTCTTACGGGTTTCGAACAACACGAGGGTGAGTAATTAATGACAGAATTTTCATTTTTTGGGTGAACTAACCCTTTAAGTTTAACTTTAAACTGGTTTAACATGTTTAAAACTAATCCGCATGCTGGACTGTGAACTGGCAGATAGTTCATGTTAGGGGTGGGCGATATACCGGTAGACACAATTAACCGGTACAAATTTGGCAAATCGTAGAGATTTTGGACTATTGTCTTTATCGCGGTTATGCACTCACATCACTTTGCCGTGCACTGTGGTCACGAAAATTTATCATTTGCCAAAAATGTTTAAGCCTTACTGTTTAAAAACAAGTGATTTCAAGCCGCTGGAATGCAAACTAAACCTTCATCTGTGACACCACAATAAATCAACCTGTAGAGACATGAAAATCATACATGTTAAACACTATCAAACAGCTATCGAAAAAGCAATCAAACAACCTCCTGCAATGAATAAAAACGTGCAATTCCAATATAATTAAATTAATTCATACCACACGAAAAAAAACTGCACATGTCTTTCTTTAAAGGGCACCTATTATGCCCCTTTTTACAATATGTAATATGTGACTGCGCGTTCACGACAGTATCATGATGCGAGCGTGCGGCGGCGCCGGTGCTGACCCAGATCCGGCGTGGGTCAGTGCCGCCACATGCTCGCGTCATGATACTGTCGTGAACGCGCGTCCACAAGTGAAGCAGTAGAGACAAAAATGTGGAATAAAGTTGTTATTTTGGTTTTCTTTGCTCAAAAAAGAGTTGAACCACTGGTGTCACACAGACTACTTTGTCGTTCATCTTGGTACTTTTGTGGACCTTGAACGTGGTAGTTACCTTGCTGTCTATGGGAGGGTCAGAGAGTCCTCAGATTTCATCAAAAATATCTTAAATTGTGTCCCGAAGATGAACAAAGGTCTTACGGGTTTCGAACAACACGAGGGTGAGTAATTAATGACAGAATTTTCATTTTTTGGGTGAACTAACCCTTTAAGTTTAACTTTAAACTGGTTTAACATGTTTAAAACTAATCCGCATGCTGGACTGTGAACTGGCAGATAGTTCATGTTAGGGGTGGGCGATATACCGGTAGACACAATTAACCGGTACAAATTTGGCAAATCGTAGAGATTTTGGACTATTGTCTTTATCGCGGTTATGCACTCACATCACTTTGCCGTGCACTGTGGTCACGAAAATTTATCATTTGCCAAAAATGTTTAAGCCTTACTGTTTAAAAACAAGTGATTTCAAGCCGCTGGAATGCAAACTACAGCGCTATATGCACGCACCGTCTGTAAGACTGTTTCTGAGCGTGTGTGCGTTTTTTTATTGGCCTTGAAAGGTTAAATACACATACTTATATGTATCAAAATGCTCATCTTTGCAAGCATTCTCATAAACACAGTAATTTAGTTCTTAAGTGAAAGTAAACAGCTGAGAAACATCATTCAGTCCCAGAGATATGGGGGTCTCCATATCCAGATTGTTGAGAATACCCATTTTCAGTGGTTGAAAACCAAATGTTGGTCTCTTTGTATACAGCCGATACTTATTTTATTTAAAGAACAATGACTGAAGAATAAATAATGTTGAAACTAGAAAACCTGAAATATTTATATGCAACTTCTCTGACTTTGTTTGAATGCCTGAAGAAATCTTTTACAGTGTCACTGTATTGAAAACACTGTATTGATTGTTCTCATTGATACTTACTGAACTGATCTGGATTCTTTAATCACAGGCAGCAACTTCTGAAGAACTTTCATATTTTCAGAATTATTCAGTCCTTTAACAAATTTATCTAGACGAAACTCATTCAGTTCCTCTTCTGATGTCAACAACACAAAAACTACAGCTGACCACTGAGATGAAGAGAGTTTGGCTTCCTTTATTCTTCCAGATTTCAGATACTGTTGTATTTCCTCCACTAGTGAATGATCACCCAGTTCATTCAGACAGTGGAACAGATTGATGGATTTATCTGGAGAGTCAATGGTCCTGATCCTCTTCTTGATGTACTCAAGTGTTTTCTCATTGCTGTCAGAGCTGCTTCTTTTCAGCGTCATTATTTGTTGAAGGAGAATCTGATGAGAGTCCACTGACACACCCAGAAGGAACCGCAGGAAAAGATCCAGATGTCCATTTTTACTCTGTAGAGCCTCATCCACAGCTCTCTGATGCAGCTCAGATAATGAAACATGTTTAGATGAATTTAGCTGAAACCAGTCCTTCACTTTAGACCACAAACTCTGTTTGGTGATTTGAACAATCACATTTCTGTTGTGGTTTGTCCAGGAGAGGTGCACATATAGAGCTGCTAGATGTTCCTGAATGCTCAGATGAACAAAGCAGAAGACTTTCTCCTGATTCAAGCCAAACCCCTCTCTGAAGATCTGAGTGCACAATCCCGAGTACACTGATGCTTCTGTCACATCAATGCCACACTCTCTCAGGTCTTCCTCATAGAAGATCAGGTTGCCTTTCACAAGCTGCTGGAAAGCCACTTTCCCCAGTTTGAGCATCATGTCTTCATCTGTTAGGTTCTTCTCATAGTCCTTCTCACGTTTGATGTTGGTCTGAAGGATCAGGAAGTGTGTGTACATTTGAGTGAGAGTCTTGGGAATCTCTCCACTCTCTGCTGGACTCAACATCTTCTCGAGAACAGCGGCTGAGATCCAGCAGAACACTGGGATGTGGCACATGATGTAGAGGCTCCTTGATGACTTCAGGTGTGAGATGATTGTATTGGCCAGACTCTGATCACTGATTCTCTTCCTGAAGTATTCCTCCTTCTGTGGCTCATTGAAGCCTCGTACCTCTGTCACTCGATGGACGCACTCAGAGGGGACGAGATCAGCTGCTGCTGGTCTGGAGGTGATCCAGATGAGAGCAGAGGGAAGCAGATTCCCCACAATGAGAATCATCAGCAGCACATCCACTGCGGCCGATTCAGATATATTACACAGTTTCACTTTGCTCTTAAAGTCCAGAAACAGACGACACTCATCCAGACCATCAAAGATGAACAACACTTTATATTCATCACTGGAGATTTCCATTTCTTTAGTTTCAGGGAAAAACACATGAAGAAGATCTGAAAGACTGAGTTTTTTGTTCTTCATCAAGTTGATTTCTCTGAAAGGAAGTGGAAATATGATCTGGACGTCCTGATTCTCTTTCCCTACAGCCCAGTCCAGGATGAACTTCTGCACAGAGACTGTTTTTCCAATGCCAGCGACTCCCTTTGTCAGCACAGTACTGATGGGTTTGTCTTGTCCAGGTAAAGCTCTAAAGATGTCACTGCATTTGATTGGTGTGTCCTCTGTTGCTGCTCTCCTGGATTGTGTCTCAATCTGTCTCACCTCATGCTCATTACTGATCTCTCCACTTTCACTCTCTGTGATGTAGAGCTCTGTGTAGATCTCATTCAGGAGTGTTGGGTTTCCCTGCGTCGCTGTTCCCTCATACAGACGCTCAAACTTCTTCATCAGATTTGATCTAAACAAGTTGAGGACTTCATGCCTGGAAAATTAAAATACCACATTATTACATGAGTTACAGAGGTTTGTTTTCTGTGTAATGAGACACTGAACATATCATAGGGATCAGTTATTAATAATGTATTTGAATAATGTGTGATGATGCATTGCAGGAGTGTCATGCACTCCTTTTTTTTGAGGGGGCACGAGTGGGGGGGGGGGACAATAAACTAGACGCTGACCTGTCACCCAGGGGGCTACCGCCACCTCAGCATGAGCTTGGAGCTCAGAGAAAGGTTACGAGGCTGGCAGCACATAACACATACTGTACAGGAGTTTAGAAAAGTGCGCAGGATTTTAGAAAGCACACGGAAGATCTGCGTGTGCACTTACAATAACATGGATTCTAGAAACACTGTTACTAAGAACGATCAATAGCCTAGAGGCAAAGTTCCTAGCTCTTGAAAGAGAGGAGGACTCACATAATCTGCCCAGGAGCGGCGAGCTCATAAAAGACCCTCCCACAGTGAGGGGAGCACTGCCATGTCCGTGGAGCAGATTGACCGCAAATGGGACATCAGAAATGGGATCCAGCTCAGAAGGGGATCACACATTCCAACAGCAACAGGGTCCCACCATAGAGGCAACTGATCAAGGAGGCGACAGGGACGGGTCTAACAACTCGGAGGGGCGATTCACTGGTTCGACCATAAGAGCAGTGTGACAGGGAGGTCAAAGTGGGCCTAACCATCTATCGAACCTGCAGAGTGGAGCTAAGGAGAGGAGCCACTCAATGCCTCAGCGAGAGGAGCTCTACTCAGAGAATGTGCATGATGGTTGAGTGGATGACTCAAATCTCAGGAGGCCCCTCGGGGCGAGACATAAGGAGCACGTCCTGGCCGGAGCAGCTTCTCGATGCACCACCCAGCCAGGATGTGAGGGAGCACGTCACAAAGTATTACACTCTGAAATGCTCAACTTGAATGAAGGACCCGTGAGTCCTGAGATTGCAGCGCTACCCTAGGGACCTGATGATCAAGGAGGCTCCCGTAGAAGCCTAGCGACTTGGCTGCATGATCCAGCAAGCATGAGGCCAAAGATGTAGGGCTATCATCCAGCCTGGATCCAGTATCGACGAGCAAAACCATCACCACAATCGGTCGTACAGTGAGAGGTTCTGACTTTAACAAGGGAGGTGCTTGCAGAGGTCCTAACGCTGTAACAAAGTCAAAGGTACAAAGACATGTCCAAGTAAAGCTGCGGAGGAAAGCTAGTTAGTGAGCCATGTAAAACTAGGAATAGACAGATGAAATGGATCATACACACCCACCACGGCTCCCGCGCATGACTCAAGTTCACGGATATATTCTGAAGATGAAGGCCAAAGAACACTTGGGTCCGGACCATCAGTAGGTAGTTCTATGAGACATAGAAACTAACTAAAACATCATAGGTCCAGCATAAGAGACTGCAATGCAAGCGCTGGAGGCTCCAGCCTAACCCTCCGTCAGGTGAATGGATGGGGGCTTTATGGGAATTAAGGGGAGGAAGATGAGAGCAGATGGTAATACCCTCAGCTGGAGGGTAGATGTAGAGGGTAGAGAGTAGATGTTTTAGGTTTACTCTGGTCTGGACAAGGGTGTTGAGAACTTGAGATCTGGTGAGAACTGAGAGAACTGGTTGAGAGACTGGTGTTGGCCTACTTGAAGGACATTACTGGACCCTTGCTGGACCCCCTGCAGTTTGCTTACCGAGCAAACAGGTCTGTGGATGATGCAGTCAATATGGGATTGCACTACATCCTCCAACATCAGGACAAACCAGGGACTTTTGCAAGGATCTTGTTTGTGGACTTCAGCTACGCTTTCAACACCATCATCCCGGACACCCTTCAGAATAAACTGACCCAGCTCTCTGTACCCACCTCCATCTGTCAGTGGATCACCAGCTTCCTGACAGACAGGCAGCAGCTAGCGAGGCTGGGAAAACTCACATCAAACACCCGCACCATCAACACCGGAGCTCCTTAGGGCTGCATTCTCATGTGTTAGCTGTTTAAGCCAGCTGAGGAAGTTTAACCTGCCACAGGAGCTGCTGAAACAGTTCTACTCAGCCGTCATTGAGTCTGTTCTGTGCACTTCAATAACTGTCTGGTTTGGTTCAGCTACAAAATCAGACATCAGAAGACTACAGAGAACAGTTTGGACTGCTGAAAGGATTATTGGTGCTCCCCTGCCCACCCTTCAAGAACTGTATACATCCATTGACTCCATTGTGAAAAAGGCCCCCCCTTCAAGAACTGTATACATCCATTGACTCCATTGTGAAAAAGGTCCCGCAGAGGTTGTACTTCCTTCGTCAGCTGAAAAAGTTCAACCTCCCACAGGCACAGATGACACAGTTTTACTCAGCTGTTTTTGAGTGGGTTCTGTGCTCTTCTATAACTGTCTGGTTTGGGTCAGCCAGCAAATCAGATTTAAGAAGACTGCAACGGACTGTTAGGACAGCAGAAAGGATCATTGGTGTGCACCTGCCCAGTCTTCAGTGAAGAAACGGGCAGGTAACATCATCAAAGACCCCTCTCCCCCCGGACACAACCTGTTTGCATTTCTCCTCTCAGGCATACGTTACAGATCTTTGTGCACTAGAACATCTAGGCATAAAAACATTTTTTCCCCCATTCCATCTTCAGCTTAAACAGCTAACACATGAATCAAACCCCTAACCCTAACCTGTGTTCTGTAATTAATCAAATGCTTCAGAACGCACAGACGGGGGAAGCGAGCCGCCTGTTTCAAATGCTCCACCATCATCCCCGTCCCAAAGAAATCCAAGATAACAGGACTTAACGACTACAGACCTGTGGCACTAACGTCTGTAGTCAACATCTCTCCACACAACCATCAACACCTCCTGCAACCCCCCTCTCCCCCACTCCTACGTTTCAGATCAGTGAGGATGATGTGCGCCAGGTCTTCAGGAAGAACAAGAGAAGAAAAGCACCAGGCCCAGACGGTGTGACACCAGCCTGTCTGAAAACCTGCGCTGACCAGCTGGCCCCCATCTTTTCACAGATCTTCAATAGATCTCTGGAGTTGTGTGAAGTCCCTTCCTGCTTCAAACGCTCCACCATCATCCCCATCCCAAAGAAACCTAAGATAACAGGACTTAATGACTACAGACCTGTGGCCCTAACGTCTGTGGTCATGAAGACATTTGAGAGGTTGGTGTTGGCTTATCTGAAGGACATTACTGGACCCTTACTAGACCCCCTGCAGTTTGCTTACCGAGCAAGCAGGTCCGTGGATGATGCAGTCAACATGGGACTGCACTTCATCTTGCAGCATCTGGATAAAACAGGGACTTATGTGAGGATCCTGTTTGTGGACTTTAGTTCGGCTTCAAACACCATCATTCCAACACTCCTCCAGACCAAACGTACCCAGCTCTCTGTCCCTAGCTCTATCTGTCAATGGATCACCAGCTTTCTGACAGATAGGCAACAGCTAGTGAGACTGGGGAAATTCATGTTAAACAGCCGCTCCACCAACACTGGTGCCCCTCAGGGATGTGTGAATTTTTGTCTTTTGGTAGCTGCATTCAAAATCCACTTGGCTCAAAAATCTGAGGGGGCACATGCATGATGTACACGGGCATGACACCTCTGATGCATTGCATTAAAAACGCCAACAGTTTACCTTACACCAGGATACATGCCATCTTGTGGTTGATTCACAGACTGGTCATATTTCTCACAGATGGGTTTTGTTTCTGATCTGGGTGGCAGGGTACAACCAAAAACTAAGACATAAATCAGAATAATAGTAATAAAAAATAATAATAAAACCTAAACATTGTGCAACTTAACTTTCAAGTTTCAGCCTAACTACAGCTCAGGCATGACATAAGCCTTTACTGTCTTCTTCGAAGGCTTTGTGGCTTTTGTAAGAGGCAAATATTAGTGGCCAGGAAGCTAACGTGGAACAAAAAGAAGAGTCCATACACATAACATTCATTAACACATTTTTCAGCAACATGAATTTAAAGTTATTTGGAGAATAAACTCTTAAATGTCTCTCTGCATACTGGTGTGTGTGTGTGCGTGTGTGTGTGTGTGTGTGTGATCCTTTAAAGGAGCATGTGGTTGCAGACACAGTGCTCTGTATGTAGTTACAGTAAATGGTAGGGATGCACCGAAATGAAAATTCTGGGTCGAAACCGAGAATTCTGGATGTGCTTGGTCGAAAACCGAAACTGAAAATGCTTTGTAATAATTATTTATTTTATAAAATAATAAGACTTTTTAATTTAACTTAATTTTAATGACACAGAATTTAAAAAACACAAGCCAATAAAATAGCCAAACTTTTATTGAAAGCAAATTAGACAGAAAATCTATAAATATTAAATATCAATGTATTATTTTTATTCAGTTCTATGTAACAGAATCCGACACAACTGTTGCTGTTTTTGACTAATTATCCAAATAATGTATAGTCCTGCAAACCACCCTTCAAGTGGCTGAAACAAACACTTTTTACACGCAACATATTTTAGGTGTTCTAATAATTATTGCTATGATTAAAGAAAGTTATGTTTTATTTTCTTTTTTTATTTTCTCTTACCTAATGTTTTATTGTTATTTATTCTTAAAATAGCCTTATGAAATGTTTTCTTTTTCCTCAGAAATTCTGTGTTTGTATCTGGTTATTAAATGAAGGCATAAAATATCATTTATCTTTAAATGATTGAAAATTAAACTTTTTGGCAAACAAAGGGGATTTACTATTAAAATTAAATCATGGAAGAAATGTTGTGTGTTCATTCCTTAAAAAATAAAGTTTTCATAATTTTAGTAGTAGTAATATGTACATTCTGCTGAACAATAGTAATATATTTCTGCTGCAATGTCTTCAAATTAAACCGGAGTTTTATTTTGACGGGTTGCCGTGAATACCTTTAAATTTCTGTGTCTCAGCCATTCATTCATTCATAGAGATATGATCGCGTAATATGAGTTAATGCTCATCAGATCGCGTAAATCAGTGGGAAATGAATAGAAATTGTGATTTTGTGTAAAGAAATATCAAGTAAACATGTATAAAAATATAAAAACCCTGGCAAAGCTATTATTATCAGTGCATGATGTGTCATTAGTAACCCTTTGAAATAATCAATAATTATTATTATTTTATTTTTTTTGGAAAAGTGTGTGAAAAATTGTGTTTTATGGTCAGTCACAATTGTACTGAATGAACATATTTCTGCAGTCATACAATTGTTTATATATCTTAGCCCAGCTATTTTAAACTGTTTGATCACATTCTAGGGTTATTACTGTAGTACACTCTAAAAAATGCTGCGTTGTTTCAACCCAACTTTTGGGTTAGTACATATTTGACCCAACGTTGGGTTGAAACAACCCAGCATTTTTTAGAGTGTATGCACAAAAAAACTTATGCAACATTGATAGGAACACTGAGATAAAAACCAAAAACATTCAACCATCAACGCATTTCAAAATTGTTACTTTTTTGTAAAATATAACATCAAATTTTTATATTAGTGCTACCAGTATTACAACATCAACATTGTAACTTATTTGTAACATTTGAACTTTTAATTTAGTGCAGTATTTTGTCAGTGCAACATTTCAGTGCAGTCTTCACTAACAACTGCATTTGGATTTCTATGTAAACCTAAGTTCACTGTTATCCCATCACTATGTTTACTGATTCTATGACCACACGCAACTAAACTGAATATATGTGAATTCATATATGAATCCTAGACACCTTAAAGATAACGTGTACCAAAAAGCTTTGTCATATCTTTATGTTAACATTACTATTCTTTAGTTTTGGAGCTTTGATGCAGCATCATCTTCTCAAGCTGCAAACAAGAAATAAACTGCTCCGATCATGTGACAATTTGCACTAATGGAAACTGCACATATTTCATTGAGACCCTTTATTTTTTCCATACTTGCAGGAAGTGCACTAAAACATCAGTCAGTAAGGTTTTTAGAGCTTTATAAATGAAAACCTTTTTTACGGTCACTATTGGGACCGGTGGGATTAGATGGGATAGTATATGTTCAAACTACCTGCATCCTGGAGTTTGTGTGTGAGCCATGATGAAGCTGAACAGACCCTCAAACTCTTCTGAGGGAGATCTCCAACACTCCCTGTTCACTCAAATACACAATGTTAGTCTTACGTTAACACAAATACTCATTTGAACCACATACAAAACGAAGCAGCGACGAAGGAGAAATATGAATGCGGAAGTCTCCTGCGGTTAGTGATGTGATGTTTGAACCGAGGCAGCATCCTTCCGGAGGATGAAGCATCACTCATACAAGTAATATGGAGAATACAGATCATTTCTGGAAAATATGCATGTATGCAATTCATATATGTGTGCACTATTCTTCTGTCTAGTTTGAAATGTGAGGTATCTTCATCCGACGAAGCTTCTTTAACAGGCTTCTGGTTGCTTTATTTTTTACTAACCACCAGATAGCGCTGTCTTGGCCACTCTCGAAGCTTTGAATCTTTCCAAGGAACAATCAGGCTTCATCATGAGGCTTCTTTTTATTGTACAAATCCAAAAACAAAAACAGTCAGTAACTCACAGTTACAACAGACATTAACAACAACAACAACAACAACAACAACAACAACTATGAAGAACCAGGAAAATAAAAAATAAATAAAAACCTTCAGTCCTCTTTCTATTTTTTCTTTCCATATTTGCCTTTCTCCCTTTAATATGCAACACGCAGTCAAATATGCATTTGCAAATATGCATTTTTGTTTCACAGAAAAAGAAAAAAAAAAAAAGTATAAAAATTGTCCGGAAAAATAAATAGATTTATTAGGAAATACTTGTCTTCTATAAAAAAAACTATTAACTCATCTTTAAACACCAAAGAAAAACTGTCTAAGAAAGAAACGCGTACAAACAAACAGAATTTCCTCCAAAATGTAGCTACACTCTTAAAAATAAAGGTGCTTCAAAAGGTTCTTC